CTAAGCCAACTTCAAGGTGATTGTGCCATGCTGGCTTTTAGGAGAAATGTTTTTAAAAGAACATTTTAAGAAGTTCTCAAGCAGATGCAAATATGAAACAAGTTGATCTTAAATCTGAAATAATAAATTCTATGCGCTATTTACCACTGCCATCATCTGTGAATCTAGTGTCAGCACTCCCAAACTGCTGCCCCCTGCTTTGACAGGAACTGTAACTACATTACCCATAATCTGAACATCAGTCCCAGAACTATTTCCTATTGATTGACAACACTTCATTCTGTCTGGTTTTAACTTCAGCTTCTGCACCAAAATTTAATCATAGATCTTTTTCTGTAGTGGTCATGGTAGTAGTTTTGAGAAACTTTGATATAGTTTATCCATCATGTTAAGCCATAGTCTGTTCAAACATGGTAATGGCATTCATCTAATACACTAAGCCAAACAAACCACATTACAGCTTAGTACAACTGGAAAACAATGAAGTTCAGTACTGCCAAACATTTACATAATACCATGCAGCAACCCTATCCTGAGCACTTAGAGCTCTTATTAATCTATGCCCCCAAGGCAGCTAGTAGAAACTTTGGTGGCAGTGTCTTATTTGCAAAGATAACATCATTTGCAACTGTTTTGACTTAGATGTCAAAGAGCTTGAAGATTCGATTCAGGACATTTCCTTATCTCTTTGCGATTTTTTGCAATGGATTAATTTCCCATATATCACAAGTTTATCTGTTGGTGATGGCATGCTTGGACTGATGCAGTTTGTCTGAATTAGTCTGGATCTTATATTTCATTCCGTTAACAGCTGGATTAGCACATGCTAAGGTAAAATATGCCTGACTAGTTTGCGGTTCAATGTCTTATGGGAACTCAGCCAATATACTTATTGTTTCAATTCATTGGGTGGAGTCATACAATCAAGTGAACTTAATACTTCATAGTTCAGATGGGTATGAATTAGAGTGTTGTGCAAATACAGTCAGTGTAATTTAACAGAGAAGGACGAAATATTTTTTTTTCTAACATTCACTTCTGAAGTTGGTGCAACAGTGCACCAACATTGATATAAGGGTTGAAGCTGGTGAAGTGGAAACCATTGGTTCCCAGGCTAGAAAGAACTCTTATGTAAACATATCACAATTGCTCAAGACCACTAAGTGACTCACCAACTACAGGTTAACACAGCAAGGCAAGATAAAAACTAAATTTTTGCTCTGCAATGGCAATAATTTTGTCTAAAGTATGCTATGTGTGATATAGAGTCTAATCTAACCGATTCTAATTAGTCTTTTGCCAAATCAAGTTTAGCATTGAACAAGGGGTTAATTCTCTTGGAAGTTGATTTACTGTTGATTCCTGATGTGAAGTATGACAATTGGGTAGTAGTACCATTTGTCTGAAATGGTATAGGGTTTGCTGCCTGAGCCGGGAGTTGGACTAGATGACCTCCGAGGTCCATTCCAATATTATTATTATTATTATTATTATTATTATTATTATTATTATTATTATTATTATTATTATTTAATATGATAGGGTTCACTGTATGACTATTCCTCCCCTATTCATGCCCTGCTTTTAGTGCCCAACCAATGAAATTTTTGCAGTCATGCAAATAAATCATTTCAGAATTATACTAACATATCCACAGAAGTCTATCAACATATCTCCACTGTCGGAGGAATATTTCAAGATAAATAGGCTAACACATTTTCATCCACATAATCTAACTAGAGTACCTTAGAGTATAAGCTTGTGCCCTAGATTATCTCCATGTTCTTCTTTTGCTGCTAGGGAAGATTTTGATCGCTTTGCAAATGCAAAAAAACAACAACTGCTCTTTTAGATAAATGAATGGCTTTAATACAGAAAAAAAATAAGAAAATATTTAGATTGCTTAATTGATCATTTTATTCTACTTTAGAGTTCTTTTACATTCAGGCCATTTCAGAAGGATTATAAAAAATGTTAATGCACTCAGAACATCTCTTGAGAGCTGCAAGGTCTTTAACATATATTGTGCTCTATGTAACCAGTAAATCCCCTTCCTTAGCTTTGTTTCTAACCCCCCCCAGGTATGTCAATAGCTATATTGGTTGGAAATTCTATGAGGTGAAGTCCAGTCCATCAAGAGGAAAGAAATGAGAAAGGCTACAGTGTAAACTTCTTCCCCTGTGTTTCACATAAATATGAATTATTTAGGTTTCTTTGCACAAATTAGGACAACACTAAGTGATTATATTCTTCAGATCACCTAGACATAAGCACTAACTAGTCATGGAAAAAGTTAGCAGGATCAGGTATTACTCCTTGGACAAGAGACTTGTAGGCTTGACCCAGAAGCCAGATTTTTTTTTCCCCAGAAGTTAACATCGAACTTCTTCATATTGTTGGCAAGAAAACTTTACTAAGCAGTCACTGACCAGCTTGACCTAAAGATTGTTTTTCCTTCTCAATCGTATAAGTGCTAACTATAAGACCATAACTCTATAGTATTCAAAGCAGCCATTAACCTGGTTAAATGGTTAAATCATGGACAATCTTGCTGTTTATGACTATTAGTCATGATAGTTATTACCCCCTTTACAAGAAGAACTTTGCCTCTCAGTGACAGTAGTTGAGAGAAATTAGCAAGAAAATTATATTGTCCTTATGTGTTACTTGTATTAGCAGTTGAGAGGTTATTGGGGACTCAGGATTGGTCCAATACACTGCTTGATCTGATCCAGGAAGCTCTGGTAATAATAATAATAATAATAATAATAATAATAATAATAATAATAATAATAATAATGATGATGATGATGATGATGATGATGATGATGATGATGATGATGATGATGATGATGATGATGATGATGATGATGGAAGGTACCTTAGAGGTCATCTAGTCCAACCCCCTGCTCAGGCAGGAAACACTATACCATTTTGGACGAATGGCTGTCCAGTCTCTTCTTAAAAACTTCCAGTGTTGGAGCATTCACCACTTCTGGAGGCAGGTTGTTCCACTGGTTAATTGTTCTGTCAGGAAGTTTCTCCTTAGTTCTAGGTTGCTTCTCTCCTTGATTAGTTTGAGTAGGGAGTAGAGTTATTTGAGTAGGGATGAGCAAAGCTTTTCTCCTGGGGCTCATCTTCATACCTTTCTAATCACAGCTTAAACATGCCCTACTAATTGTTTTTATAAGACATTGCTTTCATTTGGTCTCATCACCAACCCACAGCTAAAGCAGCTTTAAATCATCTTTAGTCATTTCACCTTTAAAGTGGAGTTTTCCCTCTTCTGAAACAGTTATTGTTGTGAACATGACCTGAAATGCTTCCTTGATGATACATCAGTGGTTGATTTGCCCAGCTATTTTGCCCACTTTAAGGTGCTGTGGGCACATCCCTTTCTCTTCAGTTCTTGGGCAGTATTTAAGTTAACTTAAGAAAACTGGGACAAAATTCAGAATTTTCTGCACTATTAGTTGCAGTTTATACTGGATCTTCATTTTGATGCTTATACTATTTGTCCTAATAAGTGGAGTTTAGGAGCTATTTTTTTGCCATAGATTTCTACATAAGAATATTCTTTTTGTGAGTGAAAAATGGGCACAGCATACATGAAACCATCCATCCATATATTCCTCCATATTGGAGAGACACTGAGCCAGTGGGAGGAGTCAAATAGGGAATTAGTCTGGAATCCCTATGTGGGCACAAGAGGGCAAAGTCTGGACCCCCCCTCAATGGACAAGGCTCAAATTATACTATTCCAGACACATTATGTGAAAACCCCTCTCTCTGGAAAAAAACTCTAATTTTGGGACAGGTGGAAGGAAAGATAAATGGACCACTAATAGCAGGTTACATTAGTATGAATGCAGGTTAGAAGACATAAAAGAACACGTTAGGGATAGAATGTCATGAATTAATTAATTAATCTTTATGTTCTCTAACCTATGCAATCAAAACAACTTGATGGCATGCAAGTAAAAAGTGAATATACCTATCAATAGAATGACATATGTATGAGTGCACATCCATTATATAGAACTTCATCAGGAAGAAGTAAAACGCGAGATCTTGCGTACCAATTATTCGTGTAAAAGTCATTTTCTCGAACTAATATCTTAATAACATTATTTTTTAAAAATGTAGTCCATCGCATCAAGCGAGGTTTTCGGGCAAAGTAACCCTAGGATGAGATAAGATAACCTTTACTGTCTTTTTTTTTTTTTTATTGTGGGCACACTGGCACACATTAAAAATAAAATTCTGTTTCCTGTTCTCAAAAGCAAGGGGACCGCGCGGAATATTTCCGGGGCGCCCCAAGTCGCTGCTGCACAGCAGAAAAGGGACCCCGAGATCCCGTTTTGTTTGAAAATCCGCTACCCCTCAGGGCGTGCCCTGGGCGGTTCTGAAGGATAGCTCCGCCCCCTTCGAGCTCCTCACACCTCCTCTTGCTCCGTTTGTGTAGGATGGGAAGAAAGGCGGGTGAGGAGGGGAAGTGGGCGTGGCCGATAGCAGTGTTCGTTTCCCCCCCTTTGTTTTCGCCTTACGTCTGCTCTTCGGGAGGAAGGCGGTTCCTGTGGTGATGACGTCAGGTCTCTCAGTGTGGAAAGGCGGGCCTAGGCCAACGGAGGAGAGGAAAGATGGCGGCGGAGGTTGCCGCTGCTTCAGGAGCGCCAGAGGAGGCTGCGGGGCCGCAGCGGGCAACGACGGTGGCAGCCGCGCCAGGGCACTCCTGAGGGGGAAGTGGGAAAGCGCGCTTTGTGTGAAAGAGGGATTCAAGGGCTGGGCTCATGTGCGGCGGAGGTCGCAGGCGCCCGCGTCCGTCGCCCGCAGCTCGAGCGCCGACAAGAGACATCCCAGCCGGCTCCGGCTTCTTTTGAGCAGGCTCTCTGGGGCGCTCGAGCGAAGCTGAAAAGTAAAGCAGTGCCTCCAGCAGGCAAGGCAAAGAAGCCTAAGGGGGAGGCGGCGGCGGCAGCGGCAGCGGCAGCAGCAGCAGCAGCATGAAGTTCGCCGAGCACCTTTCCGCACACATCACTCCGGAGTGGCGGAAGCAATACATCCAGTATGAGGTACCTGCTTTTTGGAAAAGAAGAGGGGAAAAAAAAAAAAGACGGGAGCAGCTTTGGAGGGAAGAGGAGCGGGTAGCATCGGAGAGACTAGCCCTTTGGGTTGCATTTGGGGCCATGGAAGAAAACGGGAATAAGATGCGCGCTTGAGACTCAGTAGGGGGGGGGGGGGGGGGGGGGGCTCACCTGGTGCAAAGAAAAAGGCTGACATGAGTTGAATGGAAATACGGGAGGGCGATGGGTCTGATGCAAAGGCTTTCAGTAGTCTCCGTTTGATGTAGTCGTTGGAGCCCCCGCCCCCACCCGCGGTTGGGCGTAGCGGTATCGCAGATGCTTCAGTGATCTTCCAGCTCAGCCTGCCTTCCCTAGTAGAATTCCACTCTTCCCGGCTCGAGCTGCATTCTGCTGTTCTGTTTGGGCTCGTTCCTTCTGTTTCATTCAATTCACAGGCATTTCACCCAAGTCGGCAGGGACAGCCTTGCTTTCTTTTAACTTGTCTCCATTTCAGCTTCCTTTTGCCACAGATTTCCTTGTGCCTTGATGCTCCAACACTGGGATATTAATCAAGATGGAAAAGAACGTTAAGGAAGTGCGGGAGCTTTTGCTAAGCAGTATTTCTCTTGTCGAAGGTCAGGAGACTTCTGTTAGAAGGCTGTTGTGCTGGATCTTCTGTTGGGATGTTGCTATTCCCAAAAGAAGGCAGGGTGGGAGGGGAAGGCACCTGAGAGGCTATCTGTGAATTGCTTTTGAAGGAAACTAGATGGCACTGTATCCCAGGGTTATTCAATCTCCACTTTTGACACTTGGGTTCTTCTCTACTAACGGCTAACAATTATCCTTAATTAGTCACTGAATTGGTATATGTTGATACAATTCTGAAAGTTAAAGCTTTGCACTTTTTGGACTTGAAGTTATAGTTTCTTGAGTGGTGTCAGTGGTGTCCTTGTGAGTGTGGTGATTCCTAGAAATGCTTCTAGAAGCAAGCTTGCATAGCTCATGGTTTCAACTTTTCCATATTTTGGGTGTTTGTGTGTGTGTGTGATGAACTGTGTATCAGGTTCAAGGATTGCATCTGTTGCTTTAGCCCAGTTTTATTGCATTTTTGTTCATTATATTTTAAACTTTTGAAGCTTTCACTAATTAAACATTTCAATTTATTTTTTTTCTGCAATGCTTTTTTTTATAAAAGTAATCTGTTTAGGGTCTTTTGCTGGGATGCGTGTGTGGAATCCTCTGGTTAGTTAATTGCACCTTTTCCTACTAGAGTCATTAGCCTCTTAACTAATAGGGAGAAATTGGTTCTAGATTTGTTGGAGGGTTAAGGAACGAAATGGATCTCTTATAACAGTGATGGCGAACTTTTTAGACACTGAGTGCCCAAAACCACTCCGCCCCCTGCCCTGCCCACTCTGCCCTGCCCCCTGCCCCGCCTACTCCACCCCACCTTCTGCTCCGCCCACTCTACCCCGCCCCGCTCCCCGCAGGGCCACTTACCGCCTCCATGGCCTGCCACAGCAGATTGCCCAGGCAGCCCTGCAGCACCATGGCAGCCACGCAGCAGGTGATGCTGTGGGGTGCGGGGGCGGAGTCTTGTACCTGCTGTCCGGCTGCCATGTCCTTGGCTGCGCTTCTCTGCACGGGCCACAACCGGGAGCGACTCTCCGGGGGGGCTCCTGGTGAGGAGGGGGCCGTTGGAGACGGGGCTGGGGCGACGGCGCGCGTGCCCACAGAGAGGGCTCTGAGTGCCGTCTCTAGCACGCATGCCATAAGTTTGCCACCACTGTCTTATAGTATTTGAAAATTTGTGGAATCCTTTGGATTTTCAATATTTCTGTATAAAGATGATCTAAAATGTGATTTGTTCTTCACATGCATTTTAAAGCTAAAGAGAACCCAATTAAACAAAAACATTATACTTGTTTATTGAAGAAAATGATCCAAAGCTACATATTTCCCTGTGGCAAAAGAATGTGAATCTTTGCTTTCAGTAACTGGTGAGCCACCCCTTTGGCAATAATAATTGCAACTAAATGTTTCCAATAACTTAATTAGCTTGCAGGTTGTGTTGGAGGAATTTTAACCCATTATCCCTTAGAAAACAGTTTCAACTTGGAGAAATTGTAGACTTCTTTGCATGAACTGCCCACTTCATATCATTCCACAACATTTCTATAGGATTGCAGTCAGGACTTTGATTTGGCTATTTCAAAGCATTAACTTCCTTCTGCTTTAATCATTCTTTGATTGTATGGCTTGGATGGTTTGGGTCATTGTCTTGCTTGCATGGCTCACTTTCTCACGAACTTCAGATACCCGGACATTTTCCTGTAGAGTTTGCTAGTGTAATTCAGAATTCATAACTCCATCAATGATGGCAAAGCCAGGGGCAGCAAAGCAGATCCAAATTGTGATACTGCCACCACCATGTTTCACAGAAGGGATAGGTTTAATGTTTTTCATTCAAGCCAGTTGTTCCATTTTGGTCTTATCCATTCACAGAACATTCTTCGAATAGCTTTCTGGCTTATCCATCTGCTCTTTTGCAAACTGTAGACAGGAGCAATGTTCTTTTTGGAAATTGTAATTTTCTCCCTGCAACCCTGCTCTGCACACCATTTTTATTTGTGTTCTCCTGATGGTGGTTCCATGAATATTGAACATTCACTAATGTAAGAAAGGTATTTAGTTTCTTAGACATTGCTCTGGGATTGTTTCAGACCTCCCAGAATATTATGTGCCTCTTGCTGGTCAACCAGTCCTGAGGAGGCTAACAATGATGTTGAATTGCCTCCATTTGTACACAATTTGCCTGAGAGGACTGGTGGAATCCAAACTCTTTGGAAATAGTTTTGTAACCCTATTCTATCCTGGGGAGCATAAACAACTGTTTTTGGGGCTCCTCAAAAATCTCCTTTGTTCAAGCCATGACACATTTCCACATACCTATGTTGTGATCAGATTTTGATAGTGAATACAGTTTTGCCAAGGATGATCCATTTTGTTAGATATGATGGAATTTTCAACAAAATTATACAGTCCAAAATTGATTTGTAGGTTTGTTCAGAGAGAAAGTATTTTATTGATCTGTCAGTTTCCACACAAGAGCTGTCTAAGATATTCCAGGTGTGGTAACAAACAAAGAAAGCTGTATCAGTGGTTCTAGAAAATTTTAATACAGCTTTTGGCAGCCATGAGATAAATATGTGATCAGCCTGATGCATAATGCAGGACTTACTCTTAGCCTAGTGTTTTAAGAAATAGTAGGTCTTGTAGAACAGTGGCCCCCAACCTTTTGGGCACCAGGGACCAGTTCCGTGAAGAGAAATTTTCCATGGACCGGAGGGGCCGTTGTTTCACACGCTGCCTGCCTACCTCCCATGGATAGGGCTTTGCTTGTTTGCGCGGCCCGGTTTCTGGCATGCCGTGGCCTGGCGCCAGTCCACGGACCAGGAATTGGGGACCCCTGTTATAGAATACAGAGTTCTTTATGAGCCTATTATGATCATAACATTTCCTAGCAATCTTTTTATTGACCATATACTCTTCATCCTGGATACTTAAGAAATCCTAGAGATTTCTGGATGCTCTCTGACATTACAGTTAAAGCCATGAAAGATTAAATAGAGAGATCCATAGATCTGATAATTTCCAATTACTGCAGAACTGAATTCATGAAATGGGTGGATTGTAATCTGAACGTTGATGGCACAAACTTCATAAAGCTGTATCAAATACAAGCCAGAGCAAGTAGCTGTGTGGCAATAGCTATGAAACAGTATGTCTCTTATGTCATTGAACTCTCTGATAGCTGTGCATTCTTTTCTCATTCATTACATGGCCACTAGTGAATGCCAGATCTTTAAGACAGGTTGCTAGGGTCAGACTATATGTATCTTGGGGCTAACTGTTGCGTAGGGCAGGTGCAGTGACAGGAAAGGTGCATTAACTACATCCTATAGTATTGTTTAAGAGGTGAAACTGAGAGCATGCTGATTCCTATTGAACCTTACTGGATGGGCAGAACTTATCAAAGACAGTGGTCTTTCAAATAATCCAGGGTTATTGCTTAAAGGCTTTAAAGATGATAAACTGCATCTTGAAATATAATTTCAAACAATGGCAAATAAAAAACATAGCTCACTCATATTGAAACATGAAGATTTGGGCCTAGATTTGAAAAAAATGGAACATTTTAATCCGATACTCTGAAGAGAGACTATTTAGGTCTTACTGCATTGTGGTTTAATTGTAATTAATTATTGTAAAACACTACTGTTTGTTACTAAATATGGCAGAAATGTACTATTGCCTAGTTATTTATGTAACAATCATGGCTGAAAGTGACCTAGTTAAAATTATTGCAAATTTTGGATTCCATACATTTTTTTTATTCTTTCTTAAATCTGATTAGACAAATATGTATCTAAATCGCCATAATCTTGACTTAGTTCATATTGTGAAAGCACGCTGTGAGACAAGAGACAGATGTTTTCATGAATTCAGTTGGTTCATTTTAAGTTTAATGGGAATCTGAGAAGGTTTCATTTGTAAGACTTAATTTTAGCTCATTAATATTTAAAAATTGGGGTAAAATATACAGGTGGTCCTTGTTTAATGACCATTCATTCAGCTACTGTTCAAACTTGCAATGGTGCTGAATAAGTGGTAGTTATGATTGGTCCTTGGAGATCCAGCAATGTCCCTGTGATTACATGATTGAAATCTGGGTTCTTGGTGGCTAACTTGTGGTTATGATGGTGGCAGCATCCCATAGTCATACAATTGCCATTTGCAACCTTCTTTGCCAGCTTCCAATAGGCAAAATCAATGGGGAATCTATAGGAAGTTGCAAATTGTGACCGTGTAACATTCCTGCTTATCAACCTGCAATGATTTGCTTAATAACAGCACCTAGGAGTATCAATTGCCATCACTAAATGACATGGTCACATGACATGCTGCATGACTGTTACTTAGCCATGGCAATTTCAGTCCCAGTTGCCATTGTTAACTACCTGTAATGGTGAATGCTTTCATCAGCATTACCGGTGGTGGTGGTGGTGGGAGATCATTCCTTTTCTCTTTCATCTTCAATTTGCCTCAGACGATCTGTAGTCCTTTAAAGAAGATTTTGAAGGAACAGGGAAGATGGCAAGGGGAAGGAAGAAGAAAATGATGATGACATCATGTCATCCAATATCTACAAGTTCAATCTTGTATTCAACATATGTCAAACTACAAACTGAATTTTAAATATCAGAGTATTTTAGTTGGTTTTGTAGTTTACCAAGTTAAGCTTCAGTTATACTGTAGACTTGCATGATTATAAGTTTTTTCTTTTTAAGACAATCTGCTTCACATTGATTATATGGAAAACAGCATTATGTCTAATCTTGATGTTAAGCTTACATGTACAATTTGTACAGAAACATAGTTAGATTATTTGAAATGTTGGCTACATTGGCAGTGTCCTTTTCTGAGGCACACAGAATTGACAAGAGCTATGCAAACTAAAGTATGGAAACAAAATCCTTCCCACCCTTAATAAAAGCAGCCCTGCCCTGCCGATAGCAATTAACTTAGTGAAAAATACTTCCATTGGCACAAATAGAAGTTTCAAGTCCTGGAAATAGATTTGAAGTTGAGTCCCAATCTGTCCTTGCTTAGTAACTTCTATGTCTTTAAAATGAATATAAAAAAATATGTTTTGAGCCTTTAGTAAAACTGTGTGACACCTCTGGTGCAAATATACTGCTTGTTGAAACATAGTGTAAATTAATATTTCAAGGGTATAGAGTTAATAATGGTAAAGAAAAATGATACCAATTTTATTCTACTCTCTTTTCTTGATGTAACTCATTTAACCAAATAATAACAGTAACTTGAAATGTCAGAAATGTTCCAGCTGATGGGGAGATTGGCTTTGGCTCTCATAATTGTATGAAGTTTTTATTCAATAAAGCATAATTCTGAAATTTATATGAAACTGTTGCAATGTAGAACAGCATGCAGTTAATTCTTTGCAACATAGAGGTCAGTTGATGAAGTTTTGAAAGCAATTTGTTTTTCCATTTTTCCATCTTCATTTCCAGGCTGTCCTTTTAGACTTTGTATCTGTTTTGCAAAGTCATAAATTTCAGCTAATAATTCTTCAGAGGTATTTTGATATTTCTGTTTGCTTTCCTCTAAACTGTGACTGCTGAACACTCACTGCTTACTTTTAGGTGAAAGACTAAGGCCTTAAGGTTTGATTTGTTAAGTTAATATCCATAGTTCAACAGTTAGATGCCACATGAGTTGAATTCAACTTCTGCTGAGTGACATTACTAAATATTTGGGTCTTAATATTTAACGTTAACCCACCCCATAATCAGTTTCTCTGAGTTTTCCATATTTTCATCTAATGATGTCATCTTAATTGAATGTCTTACCTTTAAGGGTATCCTATTGAAATTTAGTAGAAGAAACAACAGTTTCTCTTACTAATTATAAAAACAGTATAATTATTACAGCTGGTCCTCAACGTACGACACAACTGAGCCCAAAATTTATATTGCTAAGTGAAACAATTATTATGTAAATTTTGCCCCATTTTACGACCTTTCTTGCCACAGTTGTTAAGTGAATCACTACAATTGTTAAACTAGTAACAAGGTTGTTAAATGAATCTGACTTCCCCATTGATTTTGCTTGTCAGAAGGTTGTAAAAGATGATACATGACCCCAGGACACTGCAACTGTCATAAATATGACTTAGTTACCAAGCTTCTGAATTTTGATCATATGACCATGGGGATGTTGTAGCGGTTGTAAGTGTGAAAAATGGTCATAAGCCACTTTTTTCAGTGCTGTTGCAACTTTGAACGGTCACTAAATGAACTGTTGTAAGAAAAGCACTTCCTGAATAATGCATACTATTGACTACTGTTGTGGTCATTAATGCTGCTAATATAATCTGAGATGCTTTTTCCTCTTCTCCAATTCCCAACTAATCTTGCAAGATTTAATGTGAATGATAATAGAAAACGGAGAACCTTAAAAACATACCAGAGCTTTGCTTTGCTAGTCAGTATGTTCCTTGTGCTAAATGTTTGTGGTCTGTGTATAGAATTCATCTCATTTGACATTGGAAATAAGTGAAATATCATTAACATTACATTCCTTGGTTTTATTAGTCTTAAGGGGCGAGGGGATTTAATTTTGCCAATTGATTTAAAGTAGGCAGATTAAGTGACTTAATGTGCTAGTGCTGTCATATTTAATTTTCCTTCTTTCTTGATAGGCTTTCAAAGAGATGCTGTATGCTGCTCAGGACCAGGCCCCTTCTATAGAAGGTAAATCTAAGCTATATTTTAATTATATTGATTAATTATATTAATTTTTAGTTCCTTGTGAATATCCAGATACCACTTTCTGTACAGACAAAAAAATGGGGTTAAAAAGAAGTCCTTTGACCAATTTGTTTTTGAGCTGAAAACACTTCAAAATGATCAAAACAATCCATTTGAAACACAAAACAACTGTTTCTATGTTAAGCGGGATGTTTTAAACTTCCAGTGCTTTGAGTTAGAAATGTTTTGTACACGCTTAATAATGTTACAAGCCAGAATCTGTATTGTATCATGTTCTTTCTTAACTCTCAATTTATATTACAGTATTCTCAGAAGTCAATTTAAAACTTCTCATTTGTACTATTTTCTAGGACTTTCCCAAAGTAGGTGCTACAGGTTTCATTTTGCTTCTTGGATCATAGACATAAAACAGCATGACATTTAAAATATGTTTGTAGAAATTAAATATAATTTATTTCAATTCATGGTTTGTAGTTCATGGAACAAAATGGAGCAATCTGCTCAGGTGTAACTATTTTCTTGTTGCACAGGAGGAAGAGAAGAAAATAAAGGGTATCATAGAAATAGACTAATGATCTTTGTTTTTTAAAATAAGACCTCAAGAGTTTCATGTGGCAATCAGAATTATTCACTGAAGTTACACTTCTCTTTAAATCTTGTGGCCTCTCTGTTTATTTTTCAATTTCTAACTACAATCAAGAGTCCCAGCAGCTTACATAAAATATAACATTAATAAAACATCCCCCCAACTAGCCAAGATTATTTAATGTACATACTGTTGTGGGTAACTGGGAAATAGGCCTTTATCTCTCCTTGCCTTGCTCTCAAAATGTTGTTTCCAAACTGCAAAAGGATATCTTTTGGTCAGATGGTGATGCTGCATTATACTAGATTAAATTAATACTGAACATGTTGCTGTGTTCTTTCAATTTCTTTTTAAAATCAATGTACAAAGAAATTGGTTAAATGCTTGTATAAATACAAAAGGTTAAGCTAAATTCTATGTTTTCTATGTTTTATTTATTATATTTATTTTATATCCCACTTTTATTATTTTTACCAATAAGCCAAGGCAATGAACATATCCAGCATTCCTTCCTTCGCCTATTTTCCCCACAACAATCTTGTGAAGTGAGTTGGATGGAGAAAGAGTGTTTCATCCAAGGTCACCCAGCTGGCTTTCATGGCTAAGACAGAACTTGAATTCATGGTCTCCTGCTTTCTAAGCCAGTGCCTAAGATCAAACTGGCTCTCACCTTGGATTTTCTGGCATGTTGCTTTATTAGCAATCTAATGTCTGCAGATGACATAAATTATTGGGTTGCTTAGGTCAGATACTGGAATTTGCTTCAATATAGTAAAAATGGTCATAAACTAGTGAGTTACACAAATTACTATTTCAATTTACTTTATATAACTTTGGATATGTATTATTGTTGCTTTGTGAAAAACTGATTGAATTAATGGCTGTGGGGGGAATAATTTGCCCTATGTATTTAATATAGATGGCATTACAATCTGAGGCATCTGTATATAGAACTAGAATTAGAACCAACTGAATTTGGAAAACTGTAGTTCTATATAAGGAAGGAGATGATTATTGTCCTCATATCTGTTTAGCCTGTACAATAAATATAATAATAAGAATGGCAGTGATAGCTAGAATCAAAATTAAGGGTCAAAACAGTGAAACATGCAGATATGCAACTTGGTTATACAAACATAAAGACGCTTTAGAATAGCTCTTTATGAAAACAAACCAGAAAATGAAAATTCTGAATTAAAATTAAATGTTAAAAGGAAAACATGAACCCACATGCTAAACGAATTTGCAATTGACAGTAAAGAAGTAAAGGTGATAGGCAGTTTTGCTTTCTTTGTTTTAATGGCAGACTTAGGCAAGATTATGAAGGACAAGGTCATTTCTGTGACAATGAAGACTGGAAATGTTAAAGCAATGTGTTTCCATTGGTGACAGGGTGCTTTGAGAACTGGAGACTGATGATCCAAAAAATAAGCAGGTGTCTTCGAAGTGTGAATTTAGAGGCAGTTATTTAGTATCATGGATTGCAAAAAACATATCAATTCTGGACTAAACAAAGACTGATTACTTGAGGTAATATAATTCACACATGTTGAACAGGTGATACAAGCAGAAGATGGGCTTGAACAGGATTCTGTTTGGCAAGTTTATGGGAAGTAGAAAAAAGAATAAAGTAATTGGTAAAATTGATGAACAAAAAACAAGGAAATTGCTGGTGTGTCCTTGAAAAAGCTTTAAAATAATGTTAAAGACAAGTCAAAACAAAGAATGTTTGTCTATATCGGGTAGGCAACCTTGGCTCTTTTATGACTCGTGGACTTCAACTCCCAGAATTCCTGAGCCAGTTGAAGTCCACGAGTCATAAAAGAGCCAAGGTTGCCTACCCCTGGTCTATATGAACACCATGTTTCCAGTCTGAGTCAGTGCAGTGGTATCTATCTAAAACAATTATGTATAAGAACAACCAGCATTTTAACTGAATAGACTAGAAAAAGCATAACTATATAATTTAAATATTGATGATCAAACTTATGTAAATGGATCTTTTAACTAATAGTAAGGTAAAAGGTAAAGATGTCCCTGCGGATTTTACTCTGCTAGTTGCTGACTATAGGGGGCGGTGCTTGTCTCCATTTCAAGTCCATTGAGCCAGCACTGTCCAAAGTCATTTCTGTTACTTTCCCACTGAAGTGGTAGCTATTTATCTACTTGCGTTAAACTTTTGAACTGCTAGGTTGGCAGAAGCTGGGGCGAGGATGGGAGCTCACCCCGTTGCATGATGCTCGGGTCTCAAATCTGGGCTGCTGGCTTTCCAGCTGACAAACCCAGCATTTTAAGCGCTGAGCCACCACTCTAGTATATTAACATAAATTCAGAAATATTTACTAGCAGATTCAATAAATATAATTCAATATGAACTGGATTTTGGAAGCTTGTAGATTTGACTAATGTAGTAATTTTTCTAAATCGAATGATTTCATCTTGATTTGAGAAAGTTATTAGAATGCTTATAGCAGCTCTGATTTGACTTTGATGAGAATATGTTCTCATCGAGAATAAAGTGGTAGAGCATGGGAATCAAATTTTATCCTTGCAAATGCTTTTATGTTAGACGGCTTCTGGGTCCCAATTATCTTTATTAAGAAATTAGAATTTTTGTTGTTTTAAGGGGACAGTTGGATGGGTTAAAATGAATGTAAAAGATTAGAGATGGGCACTAAAGGATGTGCTTCCTTGGATATGGGCCTAAATAACAGATGGAGGTTGATTGACAATATTAAAGTGGTGGGAATTTTTATTACAAGTGGCCATGCTTTGTTAGAATTTTTGATTTTAACAAAAAAGCTTGATTAAAAAAATAACAAAGCATAAATCACATTTTTAAAAGGCTGATTTTAGTACACTAAAAGAAATAATGAAGATGTAATGGGAAAAGTGTTTTAAGGCAAAAGTGTTGTAGCCAGCTGGGATATCTCGAAAAAGAAATTAAAGAACATCATTTCAAACAACATTAATGTGGAAGAAAGCCAGAATGCATTCAAATCCAGTGGGATTGAAAAGGTAGCTTGCTGAGACTAAAGAAGGATGCTTCTTGGAAATGAAATGAAAATAATATAAATCAAGGAGTTTATAAATCTATAGCTCAAAAATGTAAGAAAAGGGAGTTTTGTGGAAGGCTTAATACTCAGATATTGTCCCTATGTATGTTGGTAAGATCCATAAAAAAGATTCATACACCAAATGCTCATATGTAAGAATTAGAATTTACTGATAAGGCATCTTGAAATTGCTGTTATTTCAGTAATTTGCCACTTCAGAATTAACATTTTTTATGTTAATCCTGTGCTTATACTTAACTGCCTATGCTTGTTACAACTTGAAATAACTGTTCACACTTTCCATTACATTATTTGGTGGATGTTATAACTCTGTATCATGAGGATGCAGTTTGTCAATAAACATTTATATTATCACTTCTGATTTTAGCATGGGCAGTTGCTATGGGCACTTTTGCAAATAATATTTTGTAATGAGTTGTTAGTGCTTGGCTGTAAAAATACATTTTGTCACATTGTTTAATCAATTCACATTTCATTCATTTCTGAGATTTAAAGACCCACTACTTTCTATTCTTTGAGGGAGGATGGATATATTTTAATAGTATTTTAAATAATCAGACTATAGTTTACCAGCATCCTGTGAAATAAAGAGCCCTTATAATAAAAATCAAGAAAATTTAGAATTTAAATTTAAAAAATTAGAATTCTTATAACAGTATGAAAACTTTCCAAAAGAACTTTACTGTCCTATGATGTTATTCATTTGTTTTGATGTTGCAGCATAGTGGTTATTGTAGGAAGAATGCCAAGGAAAGCATTTAGGTAACTGTTTTTATGATTCATTGATTTTAAAGTCAATAAATAAAGTAAAACCTACAGAATAATTCAACTACTTCCTTCTTTCCATATTTATCAGGCTTGAACATTTTAAAATTAACCTCAAATTAATCTTTGTCCCCCAGGAGAACATGCTCAGTACTAAATTGTGACTATATTTGATTAATTTGCAAACCTATGTTCAGGATCTGCAAGAGTATATAATGATATGTACACGAATGAGGAATAGTAACATTTTTTGTAGCCAAAATTGGCATACTAGGACTTCAAACATTGTTATTTCATAGTGAAAACTGTACATTAAACATTTCATTGGGTTATTAGCAATGCTAGGGGTTTTTAATGCTGCAGTGTAGAACAATAAGTGCAGTTTGATTTATAAATTAGAAATAGCACATTAATGCCAGCAGTTTGTACATAAGAAAGATGGTATATGCACAGAATATTTTTAGCATATATACAACAAGCTTCCCCTCCTAGGACTCTCCCCCATTTATTTATTATCTCTGAGCTATGAGCAGGCAAGAAACACACTCTGACAA